TTTTCTGCTGAAAATATTAAAATATAATATCCACATAAGTTTTGGCGATCCATGGAGCATAAGCAAATATCGTTAAATAAATGAAAACATGCAAATCTACTTGTTAAGTCATTGTACTGAGCCAAGCCAAGGTTGTCAGATTATGGTAACCATGAACATGGTTTTTCACAACTGGAACAAGGCGTGGTCTTGCCTAACTTCAATATCTGGGGACATGTACTAACAGTTCCCAGGGATATCTTTACATATGTATATTCCTGTTAGCTAACCCTAGTCTTCTTCTATTCTCACACAGATGCAATCCCTTTCACATAGCCACACATGCATAAATAAATAGCCATTTACTAATACATCAAGAAACCCAGTAGAAAAGACGGGGTAAAAATAAATAAGCATACAGAAAAAAAAGGAATATGAAATGACAACTCATTTAAAATAGCTTTAATATGAGAATGTAGGAGGTAAACACAGTATAACGCAAATGAGCTTTGGCGTCAAGTAGAAATTACTCCATAGCTTGGCCTTTGACTTATCAGCCGAGACCTTGAGCAAGCAACTTTTCTAAGCCTCAGTATCTGTTTAAAAAAAAAGTGGGGGGACAGTTATGTTAATTACTAATAATATATGTGAAGTGCACAGCTGATAAGTAGGTGCTCAATAAGTAATATTCATTAACTGAGATCAACTCTTTTCAGAAAGTTTCTAAATTACCAGTAAACTTTCAGCCAATGTACTTGGACTATCATTATTCAAAATAAGCTACTTGCTTTGAAAACAGAATCAAATCAACTGGGGAGGGGAAAATACAGTCATTTCCCTGGAGCACTCAAGATGAGGCAGGCAAAGATTTGAATCTTGCTCAAGGTGAAATTTTATTTTTAAGCAAGCTTTCCCAAAACAATTTGTTACTCTCTTTATGTTTTATGAATTAAAAGAATGTACTCAGAGTCTGTTCTTTAGGAGCCCCACTCAGTGAAATCATAGAAAAAAATGCTTCAGCTCAGGCAATATTTCCTGCTGAAAATTAAGCGCTCTAAGAAATTACAAGAACTAAAGAAAGGGCCTGACATTAAAATTAATAATATAAAAGCATGTAAAAAAAGACCACCAGAAGGGGTACCAAAAGAGACTTTCCTGATATCAGTGTGACTCCCCATTAATCAGATTATTAGAAGGAGGAATTAAAAGAGTAGAGTTAAAAAGAGTTTTGTAAAGACATAGAAGAGGAACAATAGGGCAGATTTCCAAGATGATTTTCTAACAGGGTCATATTCAAGTTTGCACACTCCTATTCAATGATCATTCTGCATTTGGCAACAAGCAGTAATAGCTACCTTCTGCCTATCCATTTGCCTGTCCTGTTGTTTAAGCAACACATAGAAAGAACAGTTTAATTTGAACTTTATTATACAACAAAAAATTAAAGAGAAGTTATATAAAATATAAGAAACTATAGATTTATGCATAGAAGTATTTTATACCTTTGAACTGTCAATCAGCCTGCCTCCTTTCCCCTGCCTTCCACACCCACTGGGGATGAGCATCATTTTAGCTAAACTCAGTGTCATTCCTGCTTCCTCATTATCTTTATCTGTCCTTACTGTAACAATTCCCCTCTTGGATTCCAAACTGGTCCTTACCATTAGATTATGCAAACCCAAGACCATATACCCCCACAACTTACCCTCTACATGGTTGTCACTCTTTTATTCAGTTGTCTTTGTCAGGGTGACTTTACTATTCCACTGTCTTCATCAGCACCACTTTATTATTCTCAGAAGCTCTGGTCTAGGGAGATAAAAGTTTACTGTTTATTCCCAATACTTTTTGAAACCCTAACCTCAAAACCCTTGGCTGGCTGCGTCCATCAACCCTAAACCATTGTATCATAATTCATTACCCAATTCTAATCAAGCCTGAATAGTGAAAGGTCCATCAAGAATAAGGGTACAAAAACCTCATAAATAGTGTAACATTGTCCTCCCCCTTCTAAGATGCTGTTAAAACTTTGTCAAATTAGAGAGTTTCCTTACAGTGGTAAGTAACAGGCTCAGCTTTAGGAAACCAGCATTCTCGGATGAATGTCCTCCTTCTTAGTTAGGTGATTATTGGATGTAAGAGATCTGTGTGTGTATGTCTGTGTGTTTGCAATGTGATCCATAATGAGAGAGGTTTTTTATATCTACTGCTAATATAGCTGTTTTTATAGCTTCTCTATCGTTACATTCATGTCTCATCCTATTGAACTTCCTTTAAGGTTTCTTCTTTATGCTGTGTTCTCCATGCACTTTCCTTTTGTTCTTCTGGCGTGGTTAGGAAAGGTTCTAGATCCCATGCATCTAAAAGACTACAACCTTGGAGCTCTCACCGTTGTGGCTCAGTTGGTCAGGCATCATCCTGCAAAGCAAAAGGTTGCCAGGTCGATTCCCCAGTCAGGGCATATGCCTGGGTTGCAGGTTTGACCCCTGGTTAGGGCATGTGCGAGAGGTGACCAATCAATGTCTCTCTCTCACATCGTTTCTCTCCCTCTCTGTCTTCCCCCTTCCTCGCTTTCTAAAAATAAATGAATAAAATCTTTAAAATAAATTAATAAATAAAAGACTACAACTTTGAACCTATGGACACTAGGCTAAAGATTATCGCAATCCTCCAAAGGATAGTTCTGATTCTCAAATCTCGCCCTGGTCACACTGGCTGCCCAGGCTCCGAGAGTTCATATGGAACCATACTGACTAGTTCAGTAAGCTCAATGTTGCCTCCACATGAACTGTTACATTTCTAAAGACATGGTTACTCAGACAGCTATGTTATTCCTGAGGTCAAAGGAGCCTCCCTTAGAGGAACTAAACTGGACAATAGATTTACTTTAAGTTTAGTTTAGATCAAGTTTCCCTTGCATTTTTAAAGAAAAGTTAGAATAAATAGAAGACTTAGGCCCTTGAAGTTGAATTTACTACTTGAAAACAATTCAAGTTTCATCTTGCAAGTTAATGTATGCACATTGGAATGGCTATATTTATGCTATTATCACAAAGTGCTTTCCCTTGTCCAAATAGTAACGATGGAGAACGAGTGCATTTGTTTTTAATACTTGATAAATCGGGCCCAAGATTGAGTTTATTTAATAAGATAATTGCTCAAAGAAATGTTTTATTTGGTATGTACTACTAGGTGATCATAGTTAATAATAATCAGAAGTAGGTTTTACAGAGGTATGACAGTTGTGGTATCAACTAGATTATGTACTTTAGAAAGTGAATCTTACAGCCCTGTATTTTACCAGTGTATATAGCATTTTGTATATTGTAGGTGCTCAAGAGAATGTTTGCATTATCATTTCTCTTCACTGTACTTGCTCAGTGCCTGAGCAAGTAACTCTGTGTTTTGCAGCAAGTTTGGTGAGCCTGCTACCTGATGCTTCTGTCCCCAGGTGTTAATATACTCTTAACAAGTTTTTCTTCTCACCACTTTTTATTTCTCTCTTATCTAATTTACAGACAAATTAGCAACCACTGATCGAGCACAAGGGATTGAAAACAAGTAAGGGGCGAAGATTACTGTAGAAATAGAGAAACTGTGTCAAAAAATTTATTCTCCAGAAGGAAATAATTTTCTTAGCCATCTATCAAGGGAACATCTGTCTCCTTATCTAGGAACAGATTAGAACTGTTATCTAGTTTCTGTGTAGACATGACTTATATTTGGGGGAGGAGGAAGGGTTAATCAGTATAAGTGAACTTTCCGATTCTAAACCTGAATTTAATATTGGAGAAAAAAGTGGAGCCCAACACACCAAAATTCTGGATTTCGCGCCCCTCCCACCACATAAAAAAAAAATCCTCGCCCTCTATCTCATTCTTTATTTCTGGGGTGACCTAGTTCTGCAAGAAGGAAAAGCAGCACTGGGGTGTGGAGCACTTAGCGTGAGCAAAGGTACTATTCTTGCTAAGGGATAACACTGCAGCCAGTACAATGTCTGCGCCAGCTAACTTCAAATCATTGCATTAATTCTGAGGGACTTTGATCTCTGTCCTTGGCCGGAAGTAAAGTAACCGCGGAAAGCAGACTGGCCAGGGAGAGAGATTGAAAAAGTGGATCAGGACCCCTGGCAATGTTTCAGAAGCAAGGGAACGCTGGGGTAAGCAGGCTTGGAGTCTCCTGTTTACTCTCAGGGGCTGGAACACAGCTGGCTTTGAATAAAGACATTAAATACACAGCACTTATAGTTTGGTCTCGGGCCTCGCCCCTGGTCTGTGGCACTTGGCCACTTCTCTTCACTGGCCAGGCCCCTGGCGCTGGTTTTGGCGATACAGGGAACACCCCATCAGCTCACAGTCACACCTGTACAGTGTTTCTCCACTCCGTGCCTCCACCGCAGCGAACGCCTTCCGCACGGCCGGGGACCCTGGTGCAGAGCGGAGGAAGGAGGCAAAGAACTAGGGCCCGGCCTTCTCCAGCGGACCCTCGAGGGACTGAGAGCGGAGGGCTGGGGCGGGGAAGGGCGGCTGAGAAGGCGGGAGAGGTCGAGACAGGCGGAGAGGGGCATGGGGAGGGCCGGGAGAAGGGGCGTCGCTGCTGGCGTTACGCTTCCAGAGCCTGCGGCAGAGGCGGCGGGGCTCAGCCGCGGAGAAGATGGGGTTTGTACCAGCCTCGGCATTTCTCCTCGCAGCCCCAGCGCCGCCGCCCCTCGCCGGGCCTTGGCGCCTGTTAGGCCGCGCAGGGTGAGCGCGGGCGCCAGCCGGCGGCACCTCGCCCCGGACTGGAGGGGAGGGCGCGGCGGGGCCGCGGCTGGGGGACTCCGCGAACCGGGCGGCTCGCGCCTCTCCGGAGCGCACCAGCTCAGGCTGCCGCCGGGCCGCGACCGGGACGGAGCTCCCCGTGCGCCCCCCGGAGGCCGGCAGCGGCTGGGAGGCGGCGCGGGGCTCGACCCTTCGGCTCCGCAGCTCCGCGCTCCCGGCGGCGGAGGCGTGGGATCCGGCGCCGCGGTAGCTTCGGAGCCCATGGCGGGCAGCGATGCGAATGGCGAGGGTCTGGCGCGCAGGAGCGGCGCGTCGCGGCGGCCGGCGGCCTCCAGCGGGCGGGAAGGCGAGGCTGCCGCCGACCGCCCCGAGCCGCTGTCCACTGCTGAAGCACCAGCCGAGGGCGCGGAGCTGCCCGTCTGGATGCGCCTGTACTTCTACGGGATGCACGGGATCACCCTGGACGTGCTTTCGTCCTCCGCGCGGCTCTTCGCTCGCAGCCCCGACCTACGAATGCTGGGCTTCTCCTCGCCTTACCGCTGCCTCTTGCACTTGCTCACCCACTTCGCTCTGGAGAAGGTGTACCTGCAACAGCGGCGCTGCCCCAGCGCCTTCGTCTTCAATTATCTTCTCTACCCCTCGGCGCACGTGGTTCTGCAGACCCTGGCGGGCCAGGCGCTGCTGCTTAGCCTGGGCGGCGGGCTGAGGGGCGCGGGGGCGCTGGGGGCGCTGGGGGCGCTGGACCTGGTGCTGCAGTACATCCTGGCGCTCTACCACTCGCAAGTGTTCCTGAAGCGCTTCCTGCGCTTGCGGTACCGACGGCAGCTGCAGCAGCAGCGACCGGGCGCGCCCCTCGCCCCTCCTCTCACCCGAGCCCCCGCGGCGGCAGGTGGCCGGCGGCGAGGATCCCGTGGCCCCCCGGGCACCGAAGGAGCCCCCAGCAAGGGGCTGCCGGACCTGCTCCGTTTTATTTTTTATGGAATGCACGGCTTTTTGGATGAGATTTTCTTCACCTTCTTCTTTAACGTGCTGGGGCAGAGAGACGGGGCAACCAGTGGCCACACGTCGCTCTGGTCGTTCCTCATGTATGGCAGCTGCAGTTTCGTGGTGGAAAAGCTCTATTTCCACCTTCACTACAGTCGAGGCTGGAGCACCTGGAAGCGGGTGCCCATCTACGTGATCTTCGTCTACCTGTGGGAGCTGTCTTGGGGTCTGGGACTCCGCGCGTGCGGCGCTTGTTCCTGGGACTATTCTCACTACCCGCTCAATTTCATGGGCCTCATCACCCTGATGTATTTGCCTGGTTGGATATTCCTTAGTGTGTACCAGGACCTACTTTCCAACGTGTTGTGGCGGGTGCAGTACATACCAATCGACTAAACAAACAAACAAAAACAAAGTCTCTGGATTCCCACCAACCAATGCAATTTATTTGTACACGTTTAAAACGGAATTTTTTTTTTAGCATTTTAATTTTTATACTTTTTACTAAACTCTTCCAACATACGTATTTCACTCGATATTTTAGTTTTAATGACTATTTGGAACCTATGCATAATATAATATTGGATATATTACTGGAAACACAACTCAAAGTACTAACCTGTCAATATTTTAAAACCTTAGAAGCCCAAACAGCAGCAAAACCATTATATCTTAACATCGGAAAGCTGTGGGAGTCACTCATTTGGGCATGGGAGGTGGGGCAGGGAGCAGTAGCTGCTAGATTATTTTCCCCCATGAGGAAATTTTTTGCATCAGAGACCAGTGACTTTTACAAGATTTAGTTAAATTTTCTGGTTTAATAATGTGTTTCCTTGCTTTTTAATCAATTTCACTTTAATTCCTTGCCATATTTATCAATGACTACTCTGAAACTCAGTGTTTTGTACTCCTGAAACTGCAGTTAATAATTCTTAAAGTGCCTCCCTCTAGCACACAAAGTGAAAAAAAACACAAATGTGAAAACATTCTATGAATCGATTTTTAAATAAATCTTTTCTAGCAATTCCGACAGGTGACACTGTGTTAAGTGTTTGATCTCCATCCCGGAAATGATTGCTTTCCAATGTGGGTTAGCCTTAAACGCCAAATGTGTTAACATTGATGAGATCCTATGTTCTCTATGGCTGTAAATGTTTGATACTGTGTAATCATGTAAAATGTTTGCCTTACATGTCCAAGGGCCAAGCCAGAGTATACCATCCTCAGTAGTGTTTTAGTCCTAAGGACCCTTTATACATGGAGCTACAAGAGTAAAAACAGTTCCTTGGAATAAAATGAACTTGAATGTTCACCCTAATTGCATTAGATCTAATTGTTTTCTGTGAATACAGATATGTGTTTGCTGTGTATTTCTGCCATGGCTCACTTATGAACATTTTTCTTTTTCCATTTGAGCCCACAGAGTTCCTGGGCCAAGACTGATGTGTAATTCAAGTTATAAATCAATTATAGCTTTTTAGTGACTCATTATTAATGTTTGGAAGCTCCAAAGTTAAATGATGATGCAAACCATTTTAAGAGATTATGTCTAATCAATTAATAACATAAGGTTGTTTGCTGTTTTTATGATATTTTAGAAAAGACAAATAGAATTGAGAATTGCTCAGCTGAGGATGACTAATAACTTCTCAGTTTTCATTGTAAAGGTAATTAGGAAAATTTACAGTGCACAAATGAATAGTTTCTTATTCATATTGTTAGCTTACCTATGCTATAAAAGGGAACTTCTTTCTTTTCTCAAAAAAAAAGCTTTGCTATGGCAATAAAAACAAATATGTCTTTAGATTTAAGTCAGATGTAATTCTGTGAATACCATTTTAATCCCCTATGTGAGGCTGTGAGCTAAATTATAAGTAATACCATATAATCAACCCCACCTGTGAAATGGATCATGTCAAACTGATTTTTTTAGTCATTTAAACCTGAGTAGAAACTGTTAATAGTAAGCTAAAATGTTTGCAGAGAGCAAAAATGTCATTTCATGAGATTTAGTCATGAGTAAACGATTCCTATAAACCCTGGGGAGAAAAAAGTGTACGTATAGATACTAAAGTTAGGCAGATGCTGAACAAAATATTTGTAATTCAAATATGACACATGGGCATGAAACTGAGTTAAGCGCAGCACTACTCCACACTACACATTCCTGTGAATGCTTAACCAAATCCATGACTTCTGAAATATTTTCTAGATGTGTCTGTTTGCACTTCTGCCTTTCACTGGCTGCTCTTCAGCCCTGTTTACCAGCATTCTCAGGGTCAGAAATCTGTCGAGAAGTAGAAAAGCTCGCTACTTTTTGCTTGTTTGTTTTACTTTTAGGGATAATCTTATTTAAAGGGAAGGTCAAGGTTTTCATTCACTCAATTCTTTCAAGAAATAGTTACTGAGCACCTAATTGCTAGGCACTCGCCTATACTCTGCAGATACAGTAATGATCCAATGCCAGTAAAACCTCTGTTCTTATGAAGCTCACATTCTAGTGTTTTGATTTATATGAGATTACATTTGTTTGCAAGGCTACTGTTTTAGTAATAGGCTGTGAGAGGCAGTTGTTAAGAGGAATTTCATCTGGCCAGTCCCTAGAATATCACTCAAAAAGAAAAGCCCATAAGTCTCTCTGCAACTTCTGCAGAGAGCTTGATAAATGTATGTATATTCAGGGAGTGATTTTCCTGTCTGTTAACTCAACACCTTGCTTTAGGGCTTCCCATTCTGTGTTTACTCAACTTCTTACAAGTGATGTTTTGCTATAACTTTGAACCTTCAAAGACAAAGCAGGAAAAGAACCATCAGATCAATCAATTTAGTTACTCAGTAGTTCAGACATAGAAATGATAAGGTAATATAATAATAGGTAATACATGAGTAGCACCACTTTCCGAGAACTGCTTTATAATATCTATAAAATCTTAAGTAAATATATGTATATATCCATATATATCTTAAATGATCATATATCAAATATATCTTAAGTAGAGATATATAATCTTAAGTAAATATACCCATACGTATCTTAAGATAATACATATCTATGAATCTAAAGAGAAACATAACTTTTTAAGTTTTCATGTTAACAACGCATACAGAAGTTTCTGTGTTATTCAAAGACTCTGATAAGGTTGATAACCCATTTCAATATTTCAGTGACTCAGAGTACTTAACTTTGACTATTTTATTATAAATATTTGATATTTCATATTTCAACTCAACAAAACACAGCTTAGAAAAATATGACCAGTCCTTCCTTTGGTCTTTTGTTATTTAAAAAAATTCTATTTGGACACACACACACACACACACACACACAAACACACACACTTAAGCCTCTAAAAAACTTCCTTTTACAGCTGAGGACAGTGAAACTGAAGTGCAAATATGTCCAGTAACCTCCCAAGTCATCCAGCTATTGAGCATAATTTAGACTTGAATCCAAGTACTCTGAGCTCCAAGGTCCATTCTTAATAGCAACACTGTCATGCCTCTGTCTACTGACCACAGTGATTTTGGGTCTCCTATGAGTTTCGCCTTACAATCTGTTGCTCTTCCCTCCCCCATCGCAGATACAAGGGTAGCTGCAGAAAAGTCAAACGCTAGTAGCAAAAACGCTCTTTCATGTTGCCTTTTTATTCCACAGAAAAAAACAAGGGAGCTAACACCAGGATGCATAACTGACAATCAGCTGTGTTCTAATCCCCAGATGACAGTCTATATTCAAACAGTGTTCTGAAATAGAGTCCCTCATTTGAAGTGAGATAATCCTGAGTATAAGAATCATACACCAAAATGTAAGACACCTCATATCACAAGCTAGGAAAAAATACATATAATTCTTGCCATTTCATGTAGTACTCAGAATGAGCATCACTATAAGAGATAAACATCCCAGAATCTTAATGAAATATTTTGCTGGAACATTTCTTCTCAGTTCAATTAAACACCTAGTATCTAAGAAAGCTCTTAATAGAAAAACATGGGGAAAAAAGTAACAAAATGATTTTTGCTTCATGTTTAACTTACACGATGCTGAAATTTCTTACTAGGAGTGGTTTAAATGTTAAATCAACTCTATTTGAGCTCTGAATCGAAAACCTTTTAAGTTTTTCATGTTAACAATGACTATAGAAGTTTTTATGTTATACAAAGACTCCAATAAGGTTTATGACCCATTTTCATATTTCAGACATTTCACTGACTCAGTGCACTTAACTGAATATTTTATTACAAATATTTGATATTTCATATTTCAACTCAGCAAAACACAGCTTAGAAAAATATGACCTGTCCTTCATTATTTTAAAAAACATTTCTAATTGGTTACTTCTACTGTTTTGAAATAGTCTCTGTTGACATAATGGACCTGGTACTGTTTAATAAGAACGGTGAAGTGGAATTTTGGTAGACTGCTTTAGTTCTTTTTCTACCTCCAAAATGCATAAAAAGATCAATATACCTGGAAAGGAAGTTATACTCATGATAACAGGCTTGAAGCAATAAATAAATCATTGTGTTGTAATATCTGGAAGCATTTTAATAAAATAAATTTTTGATTATATTAAAAGGCACTAAAACCTTTTAGCTTTTAAATTAATTTTAAATCTACTGTCTTTAATATATGTCCCAACAGCTTAATGGAACTGAGCGCCTTCTCTGAGGGAAAGTAAGCCCTGTACCGCCTTCCATCACACACGTGCCTCCGCTAATGTTGAAGGGAAAATGGCAGTCAAAGATGGTTCTGTTGTGTTGCCAATTTTTTTTTCTATTCTTAGACTTGGTACCAGAGGAACCAACAGAAGCAGCAATTGTCTGTGTGACCTTTATTCACCAGAATTGGCCTCATTTTTATTTTTAACATTGAGGCATGAAGCCATCACACAGGCCACGGCTTAGAGTCACTAGCAACCCAAACTGCAATTAATCTCCGATGTGTAAAAAGAATTTTTTCTTAGACATTTCTTCTCTCCATATAAAGAAAAGATAAGCATAGAGAATATTTTATTTGATTTTAAAATTCTCTTTACATAAATGGTTAAACAAATGATCAGATGAGAGAGAGAGAGAGAGGTCTTTAACATGCAGAAAGGTTTAGTTTTGATCTTACCTCTTAGCAATTCTGTTAAGAGTTCAAAAGTCACACAAACCAACTTTCTGATTTAGAAAAAAAAATCTTTTAAGAAGAATTAAGGGTTGAAAGAAACAATGAAGCCATCCACCAAAAAGTCAAAAATATCTTACATTTCTGATAGATGGTTTCTCAACTCAGCTTGGACATTTCAAGACAATATTAATTGTATTTTTCATGCAAAGACTGAGGGGAAGACTGTAAATAACAGAGCTGATAGTTCTGGCCACATGGCTCAGTTGGTTGGAGCATCATC